TGCAAGAGAAAGGGGGAGACATGCAGCAAAGCTCCACAGGCCAGATTCGAACCTGGGTCAGCCACTTCGATGACTAAAGCCTGCATACATGGGTCTTTTGCCCTAACCACTGCCCCACCAAAGCGTGCCCCGCCACCAACATTTTTAGAGCAGCTTTTTAAACTACAATTCTTGTAGTATAGAGGTTTTGATTTATTTAGTTGTTTTGGTTTTAAGCTTTTATTGTAAAAACATAATCAGAGACACCTACAGACAAAACTGATCGGCTGTTACACAGTTGATTATTTTGATTCATGTTACTGTTGGAGCACCTGTAGAGATGCACTCTAAAGACTTTCAGCTATAATTGCAAAAGGAGCTTAATTGCTTGCTTAATACAATTGCAAACACAACTTCTGCTTTATAATTAAGCTCTAGTTTGTGTTACAATTTGAGCTTTCAAGTGACATACAGATAATATGAAAAAAGTATTAGCAGGCTATTCACAGTTTTGGTGTTTTTATCATTTTTGTTTTGTCTGTCACCGGAGTGTCACATGAAACCGCTGTTCCTCCCTGTCTTGAAAGCATTTTGTGTTGGAATTGCCTAAAGGGTGTTGAAGCATTGGAACCCGAGTTATAGTGAAGAAAAGTGATTAAATATCAATAAAACCTATACAGTATTATGAAAAAATAAAATCAGTGATTGGAACAGAGTGTACTTTGCACTTTAATTTAGTGCCCAGGTCTCCCTCTGTAAAGATGTCTAAGGCTCTAACCAGAATGACACCAGTCACAAATCTAAATAAAACCTGTTTCACAGTAATATAAACAAGGTTATAGTGGCAAAAATAAAATCTTTGTCTGATTTAATGTTTGGATTCTTTTCTGTTGTGCCTGGCTGTGACACAACTAATCCATCCTTTTTGGGAAGGCTGAGGCACAGAGGTATTCCATTTGTTTTGTTGATTTAAACTGCTCATAAAAAGGAGTTCACTTTCATTTAATTTATCTTCAACCATGACAATAGATACCTACACGCAAACTTGCAACAGAAGTAGTTTATTGCTTGACAAACTGAAAAACAAGGGAAGGTGTTTTGTGTCTGTGTGAATTAGCTCTGACCTGTAAGACATCAACATTTTCTGCACTGGGATTTTTGCTAGACTGCTAGGAAGATCTTGGTATACAAATATGTTCCTTCAGCTGTTCCCCTATGCGGGGTCACATACCAAGTCATTAACACTTGCACTCAGGCCAGGCAGAGTTTATACGGATTTGAACTCAGGTCCCTATTGCCAGGGCCAGAAGTCTGCTTATTAAAGATGCACAAAATTGGCCTTTTTTAACTGCTACCTTGTATTTGTCTCATTTTGTTTTTTCTTGAAACTTATCTACTCAGATTGTTTTCAATTACGACTAAGCAGCAGGGAAATGTGAGCGTGATCATAATAGCAAGGCGACCCCACCATCAATATGTGAAACAAACACTAGGTAAAAATTGAAGCCCTTCTGCACACTTTATTGTTGTTGGTGGTATGAAGAAGCTGGCAGGATAACTACAGGACTGAGAGAGAATCCATGAAGCAGTATCAGACTGAAGGATATGAGCTATTAAAGTAAACTAATGCTACCTAAATGCTAGCTTGTCTATTGGTTTTATACATAATAAGATCAGCAATTTAATGTTAGAACTTAGTTACTATAATATTCATGCTATGCTAAATCAACGGCACCACTCACACTCAACCAACAGTCCTCTGACCAGGGACGGGCTTGATCCGAACACCTCTAATCAGTAAGAACTACCAATACAAAGTTTTAATCGGTTAATTGATTTCAATTAAATTTATTTTTATGGTGCCAATTCAAAACATATGTCATCTCAAGGCACTTTACAGAGGCAATTCAAGCAGATGATATCATTCAGTTACAATGGTTGAAAGGTTTCTATCTAAGGAAAATTAGTTGATAGCAAATACTCATTGACTCATCAGCAATTCCTCACACCGAGCCTGCAGGCAGGGAGAGTGGAGAGGAAAACTCCCTTTTAACAGTGAGAAATCTCCAGCAGAATCAGGCTTCGGTGTGAGCGGCTATCTGCCAAGGCCTACCGGGGTTTAAGGAGACAGAAGCAAAGATACATAAAGAAGTAAAGATACAAAAGGCAACTGTCAACCAGCTCCACAGGTGGCTCCGTCCGGGAAACACTTAGCCAGGCAGACAAGCCCCGAAACAGCTCCCATGTCAGAGGATAAAAGACAGCACATCTAGTCAGGCACAGTCAGAGAAACAGATCTGACCTGAAAAACAGGCCAAGCTCCAACATCTATAAACAAATGTGTTAAAGGCAGCACAGCTGATATTTTTCTAAGGAATGGGGGTCAAAGGAAGCCACTATGATAAGTAGAAGCAGGGAGGGTTAGGAGAGTGCGAGTCTTTTCCAAACAGTTGTGAAAATCCTCCACTATACCTTTAAGGAGAGCTACTCTTAGTTCATTTTAGTCACTGTACCTCTGGTCACCACTGTATCTGCATTTTATGCCAGTATTTAGTCCCTATCCATTACCATTGCTGTTGTAATTGTGAAAATGTCCCTTGCAGACAAACAAAACTCTAGAAAAAGAGAGTTCTCCCTCTCCCATGCTCTAAACATGCTTGCTGTGTGTTTTTCTTTGGAACTCACTATGTCCCTCATCATCACAAGTCTCCCTAACATTCTGAGGCTGCACAATTGTGTGGCTTTGGAGCCTCAGTACTGAGGCTCATTACTGTTTTCTTCATTCCGTTTTTGGATGCTACTCATATTATCTTGAAATGTTGCTGTGGTGATGCTGCTGATGCTGAAACTTTACAGATAGTTTGTTACACTCTCAGCTTTTCTTCATGTTTCCCTTTCTCTTTCTTTTCTTGGAAACGATCAGAGTGGAGGGTCAAACAGTTAATTAGCAGGTGGAAAAAACAAGCTAGAGAAACTGGTGATGATTGCATGAACATACAGCTGTCCAACCCTTATTTCTCACATTGCATTATCAGCAATACTCTTTAAAACGGTAAATTATTCCAAGCAGTTACCGGTACTAGAAACAGTACAGTTGCACACAAATGTTGAAAACAGAAAAGTAGGTTCAGCTGTATCAAAAGCTGATGGCTTTTTTACAATGAATGTGATTTATATTGTGCAGGGCTGAAGCATCATGGTTTTGAATTTTATACTTTTTGAAGAAAACTATAATTCTCTATCAGTATCAGTCTCTGCTCTTTGTTTTACAGGGGACAATGTTGGTTTGGCAGACTTCATTGGAGGAACCCTTCAGAACAAACCTGTAATTCCTCCTGTTTTAATCGAGTGTTGTAAGTAGATTCTCAACATTTTTTAGTTTATGCCTTCTTTGTCCATCAAGTCAAACCTAAAAAAACATATTTAATTAGTTATTTTTATTGTTTGGAGAAATATTTAAGTACTGGTTTTGACACTATATTGTCTACAGGAAATATAGAAACATGGACAAAAATTTTGGTAACCCTTGTTTAATGAAAAGAGAAACCATCAATGGTGACAGAAAAAATTTGACTGACAAAAAGCCTGTTTTATTAGAGTATGTCTTAAAGTAATTTTGTTGAAGCATAGTTGGAAAGCAACACCTAATTTTCCTTTGTTCGTTTTTATAAAATGTGTATTTATTATTACTAAACGAATAATAATGATGGGTTTTTCTTTTCTTCTTCCAGAAGGGGTACCAGCAATTTGGTCCATGTGTGCTAAAAAGTCTTACCATTTGGTTTGCATGAAAGGCTAGCTGGGAAACCCGCTAACCTCCAAACCCTACTAGAGTGCAGCCTGAGAAACTATAATTTGAGTAAAATGTTAAAATTCATAATTTATTTGTTAAAATGTTCAATGTTTGGAAAACCTTTGTCTTGATGCAAACAACAGCCAAAAAAGAATGAAATTGTCTGTCTTTTAACCACTTGAACATATGTATATAATCTTGTATATGTGCTGCCAGACTTGGAGGAGTACCCAGAAATGTGTGACTGCATACAAACAGATGTTGATTGTGTGGAAGTTGACCTTGAGGATGTCCCCCTGGTTTCTCCAAATGTAACATGGCTGTAAGTTTAACTTTACTTCTTTTTTAAATATTCATGTTCTAAGAAGAATACTTCAGGAAGCAGAATGCTTATGAAAGAAGCAGACATGCTGACATCAAGGTGAAGAGACACATGTTTGCTTTTTATTTACCAAGAGTCATTAGAACTTGTGGCTTTGTTTTGGTTGTTATTTATAGTTTTGTTTTTTTAAAGTCACACTCACACTGAAAACGGTGCAGCTGCCATGCAGCTGCTCTACAGGAGTTCTGCAAAAGTCATTCACACTGAAAACTGCAACCAGGCTGGTTCAGCTGTGGCCCCAGCTGCAGAAACTGCACTTGGGAGAAAATGAGTCCATGTGGGTTCATGCTCTTTCCAGGAGTTATAGAGCAAAATTTGCTTTCCATAATGAGAAATCTCCCTTTTCATTGTCCAATAGCCTCTCTGTTTCCTAGTGTTTCTGTTTTTGCCAAAGTTTGCAGTTTAGGATGTTAGATGGGGCTTCAGACCAACTTCCTTTGGGACAACACTTCCCTCTGAATCTTATTCTACTTCAGCAAGCAATTAATTTTGGCACGCCTGTGGCTTCAAACCCACATTTCTGCCGTTCTCCAGCATTTGACTTTAGTGCAGATTCATCCACCTCTGACTTTTAGCAACTTTCAAAGCTTCCAAATTCTGACCAGTTACATCTACAGTATAGTGCATGCACACTAAACACAGATAAGGTGAATGAATTCATTAATTAACATATAATTTGTATGTAAAGGGCCGATCCAGAGCAAATGAATGGTTAACAACACAAAGGACACATTTCGACCATTGTAAATTGTGCAAGTTTCATAAATAGTGCAAAGCCAGCCTACAAATATAGAACAGTCAACTTTACTTTCAATTGATGTAGCATTAACCAGTCGGGGACTTGATGTGGTTGTGCTGTAGGGTAAAAAAAAAGCTGTATGGACAAAAGTCTTTTTCCTTCATAAGATGACATGGTAAAGCGAGATTGGTCAAATTTCGCCTCTGAGCCAATTTTTAGGGAGGTAAAATGCCAAGCAACCAACGGTAGCTGAACAATGCAAAAAAAAATGTGCCTTGTTTGTCTTCTGTGTGAATACACCTCTGATATCTGACCAGCTAGATCTAGCTGGGATACAGGAGCAGTGTTGTCCTCTTTAGTAGCAAGAGATTAAAAAAAGGTCACTGATAAGGATGGCTGTCTAGAAATGAACTTTTATTTATTTTTTATATAAATTAATTTGCTGGTTTCCTTAAAAAACATAGAATATCATGCCAATGTACAATATTTAGCTGTACAGCGTGTGCAAAGTTGGTTTTAAACACAACAAATCTAGTGATAATTTTATAAAACCTTATCTATAAGGAAATTCCCTGAACACACACGTGTCAGGAAATATTTCTTAAGATGATTTCACTTTCATGTCAAAGCTACTGTCCCTTCGAGCTCACGTTTCTATGACAGTTCAGGCAGCTTTACAAAAACACTTACCAGTTGCAATCAGTGTTCCCCTCTGGGGATGAGAGCAAGTGTGGCAGTTGATAAAATGACATGCATTCTGTTATATCACACGTTAACAAGATTAGCAATACAAAGCAAGTAAAGCCTCAGTGTGATAAGCCCCCAGAATGCATTGCACTGGTGATGTTACATTAACAAGGCCTATAGTGTTTGTGCTTTTTGAAACTTCAAACAATTGTTGCATTGGTCACGTTTACGGGAGCTTTTTTAAAGCAGCAAAAAAGCGCCTGCTGCTTCATTTTCTATGCTTGTACACATTAAGCATCTTTGGGGCATCCAGTAAAGTGTGTCCAGATGTGTCTGCTGTTATAAGTGGGGAAAAAGTAGTTTTTATATGTTTTCAATTGAGAAAGTCCACCTCAAAATTTTATCTATGCAGTCAGGTCATCAAGATTTCAATCCTACCTTGAAATATTATTTCATTCTCTGACCAGCAGAAATCCCTGTACACTGGTGGTGTTCTGTTACTGGAAATCCCTTTCAACAGCTGCCTCTGTCCCAGTCACCTTTTGGGGGTTTTCCCCTACTGTTAATGGCAGCTAGAAGGAGATTTTAGGGTTTTTTTGTACGTAATCCAAACTGCACACACCAGAATACTAAAACTGAAAATACTTTGCCTTCAGGTTTAAAAGGTATAGTGCAGGATTTTCACAAACGTTTAAAAAGAATCTCCCTCTCCACTTTATTTTAAAAAATGCCCATGCACAACCCTGTACCCGCTCCAGAGAGGGAACGGCTATTCAAAGTGTGTGACAGCACGCCCAAGCCAAATTCTCCTCGTGCACACTCTGTTTAAATGTTGCTGTTTGCATCGCTCATACAAGCTTACTTTGATTGACAATTTTTCCACTATGCCAGACTCACCACAGGTAAGTGCAGTGCTGTGTCTGTCTCCCTGCCAGCTCCCTGATCAGCTTCTCTGATTGGTTGATGTGGCGCATTGAGCAGCAAAGGGTTAATTTTTTAAATTCCAGTATATGCTGCTGGTGATGTGCGTCAGATGCTTAGGAGCTCATGAGACACTGATTCGGCTGCCCAGATGTGCTACTCCTGCTGCTGTAAATGTGCTGCAGGACCTTTTGATGCACCTTGATGTGTGTCAACCATTGCCTTTGCATGTAAACCAACTGCTTTTGCTGCTTCCTTTGCATGTGGAATGAACATTAAACATTGTTCTAGGCTGTCGCAATTTGCTGGTAATGCATCCTGTATTCTTTGCATTTTATATTTTTTAACCTCCTTCACACCTTGAAATGTTCCTCTTTCTTTCAACACAAATTACTTCTGTGTTTACGCATAAGAAGAAGCAGAATATCCTATTCAGTGAAATTCAGAAAATACCAACAATCAGACCAAAGACAAAATGTAAAATCCAGAAATAACATATAAAACAAGCCAACAACAAGCACACTTGCATAGAAACCCATAAAGACATGGTACTTTACATTTTAATCTTCCTCTCAAACAAGGACTCTTAAAGGAATAGTACACCCAAAACATGATTAGCCTTCATTTTCTACT